TCCCACCTCTAGGAGTACGTCACAGATGTTTCTGGAAGCATCGAGTCGCTTTCGAGATGCAGCCGCTATACGGAGACACGCTACGTGTTCGTAACAGTAACAATAAAACACTGAAAACTTTGTTTTCAACCTTCCACAAAATTTATTTCAACCTCTTATCACTACAGCTGTTTCGGCTGATTGCGTTTCTCAAGTGATCCATTTTTGGCATACGATTACACTTTATAGTCTCTAATGAAATAAGTTGAGGAGGGGAGAACTGTTTGTCTCAAGTTGGTCATTCAGAATTATATCTGTGTTTTTTAATTTGTTGATTTTCATAGATTCTAACAAGGATAGCTTAAGGCGTTTAATACTGTGTGTCTAATTAGTGACAGTTCCTATGCTTTCAAAGATGCATTGATATTTTATTTTCACAAGATGACTTGGCACATTTTTAACGCATTTTCACTTCAATCAATCTCTCTCTTCTTAGCCTTCACTTAATAATTGCTGAATATATACCTTTTCTGTTTAGAGCAGTTTGAATCTAGCGTTTTTCAGCGATGGTTTAAATATCTTCTTGTCAAGATCAAGAATCGTTATAGAGATGATCTGTTTCTACAAGTATGTTCTTTAAACGATTGGTTGAACTTATAATTACTCAGTGGTGGACTAGGTGTAACGAATTAAAACCAAATAATAGTAAAAACAAAAAATATATTACAACATTTGGGTATAAATTGTTCATTAATGTCATGTTAAGTACTTAATTAAGATATCTTAAAGGTAAATAATTAAAATGCGTTAACAAAATAAACCATATTTATTTTAAATAAACGGTGACGTCATAGCTGTAAAATAGGTTGTTTAAGGTGTTGCTTGAAGAACAATGTATACAACCAAAACAAAAAACATTTTGACATCGGCATTATACTTTGATAAAAAAATTCATTTTGAAGAAAATAGGCATGGGAGTAGGGATTTTTGGAAAGAGTAAAATATTTTAGATAATTTGGAATATCCGGTTCTTTCGCAAGGTTATGCTACTTTAAAAGGTAGACAATACCATATCTAATGCATATTCGATGTATAAAAGCATCAGACATCATTCGAATTTTCTCTGTGTATTTTTGTGAAAATCAGATTACTTATTCTGTTTGTGATAATGCGAATATGTGGTAGAAATTCGACAGATGCGGGGAGAGTAAACCGAGTTCAAAGCACGTTGGAGTATGTAGGAGGATTTAAATCTTCATTGGTAATCTTTTGGATAGTTGACTTGGAGCAACTGTTCGAAATACGGTATCTTTAAAGACGAGAAAGTTTGTAGTTGAAGTTGTTGAGTTAAGAAATAGAAAAATGGCCCCATGAATGCTATAAATACGATTTGTATGAGGTTTTCTGAACTCTGTATAACCTACCATCACATCGAGAGAGGAAAAAGGCTGACCATTTTTTCATCATTATCATTTCTTCATCACCTTCAAAAAGGTGTTTTGACAGTGAGATCAGATGATCGATGTATCAACAATGTACAGGATCCATAATTTCAGTGTTAGAGTGATATGGTTCTAGCCAGGTGAACGAACACAAAATACGTCCAGACTGACAAGATATTATAAGCGTCGTTGCAGAGTAGCTGCAGCGGATTCACGTTTGAACTATGGTAAGTTAAGTGTTTGAGTTAACGTACGTGAATACTCTCTGGCAGTTGGATTCATCTCTGGAAATATTGAGTATCTAAGTTACTGTGTCTAATTAATTTTCCTGAAGAAGTTGATATTATTATACCTAAAAACGTCGAGTTCAGCACCTGATCCCCTATCTCCTGAAGTTTACAGACCCTTAAATATATAGGTAACATCGTTGCATCTGCATATCATATGCATTTAAACAAATTCCACTCTAAATCAAATATATTATCAATTAATGGTACGTCACTGCGTATTTAAATAAATAAGGTATATATTGATCAGATAGGAACACACTAGCGGTATTTTTTAAAGATTATATTATATATGATATTATATATAATTTATGTTACAACCAAACTGCAAACATTAAAGTAGATGACCAGTTGACCGGTAGTACACATTAATTTGGTCATTAAAATTGTGTTGATTTTCAATTCTTAAGGTCTTATAGAACCTATTTTTTGAAATGGTCGGATTTGATCATACGATTTAAGCTGTGGCGTAATTCCGGTGGGGAGTTTTCTGATCGTAGCCACCGATCAGTTCATACGTTATGCTTCCCGAAAATGTCCGTCAGATAAGCGTAATAATTTTTCTATAAGCTATTTTCTACGGGTTTTAGTGTAAATAGACTATTAACAACTTTTTCTCTCACTTCTTTACAGAAGGACAAATAGTAATATTTCTTTACAAATACTGGACTATTCTGTTCGTTTTCAGTGCTATTGGTCTTCCAATTTTATATTTTGTAAATGATAAAAAGGTTGCTGGTTTGAGCACATATTCATGAATGTTAGGGAAATAAGTCTTCTACTCACAATTCGTAATAAGTTTTATTAAAGTTGGAAAAAGAAAATGGACCCATTCTCTTTTTCCAACTTTAATAAAACCTAAAACGGATTGTGAGTCTTATTTCCCTAACATTTGACTAGAGAAGATGTATGGATGACTTAATGGATATTTAAGGACAACTATACAGAGCTAAAGTAGACTTATGAATTACTTCCGACTCTGAGCAACGCAACCTTATTCATTTTATGTACCTCAAACACTGTCAATTGTTTTTTATGTTAAAAATTGTCCGTTTAATATATTTATTATAATAAAACCAACCTTACCCATTTTTTACTTATAAAACATTGTTCACAGACTCAATGAAGTGGGATATTTCACCCATTCCGGACAAAATCTTTTAAAGAACCCTCAGGTGTGTACCTATCATAAGTGAATTAAAAATGCTTTTGTTGGAATGTGGAACTTTGCAAATAGGTTACTGTTAAAACGAAACAAAGTTAATAATCTTAGCCTAATACGAAAATATTAAATACTATGAAATGAGTACAGGTATTTATCAATTTTGCGAAAAGTGCTTAATGAACGAACATATCCTCGATATGTCAATGGTAACTATATTCGAAATTCAATAGGATTGTCAATTACTCATTTTCTAAGTCCTGAACACTTTTTGGAGAGCGGCTAAATATTAATTTATTTATCACATCTAACATCTCCCGAATAAATCAGAGGATAGGTTTAGCAGATGAACAACAGGGTTTTCGTAGTGGAAGATCGTGTACAGATGCAATATTCATTATAAAGCAAATTGCTGAAAAATCACTAGGGTATAATAGACCAGCATTTCTGTGTCTGATTGATCTAAAGAAAGCATTTGACAAAGCAAGACTCACAGATGTAATCTATCTTCTGTAGAATAGAGAAGCTCTCCTAAATATTATAATGACTATCGAAAACATCTACCAAAACAACAAAATGGAAGTCAGAATAGATAGACAACTTACAGAACCTATAGAAATAGGCAGCGGAATAAGACATGGGGATTCATTGAACCCCATGCTCTTCAATTTGATCATGGATAAAATTATCAAAAGCGTTAACAAAGGAAGAGGATACAGAATGGGAAACAAAGAAATCAAAATGCTTTATTACGCAGACGACGCAATATTGACAGCCCAAGATGAAGATAGTCTGCAAAGACTGGTCCTCAGATTTAACATAAGAACAAAAGAATTTAATATGACAATCTCATCTCAGAAAACTAAAAAAATAGTAGTCAGCAAAGAACCAACCAGATGGAAAGAGAAATTGATGGCATCAATATTGAACAAGTAATGGAAATAAAATACCTGGGAATTACACTGTCTAGCTATGGAGACCTGGACAAAGATGTGAGAGATCAAGTACAAAAAGCAAATAGACTGGCAGGATGCCTTAATAACACTATATGGCGAAACAGACACATTAACACTGGGATGAAGTCAAGTATTTATAAAGCATGAAGTATCGGACGACCGCGCAAAAGATGGAGTGACAACCTTCGATAGAGGTATTAATCCGCCAACGAACAAGCAGAAGTGCTTATAAATAGGAAGAAGAAGAGAAACAAGAATTGTAAATACTGTAATTCCTGTAAATTTGCTTTTACCATTTGATAGGTCGATGTAATTGCTAGTACTGTATTTTGGTTCATTTCGAAATTAAATATTCTAAAGTAACTAAAGAAACATTACATAATTTTTGTCACAGATGAGTTTTTCCTAAAATTAAAAAAATTACACGCCGCCATTGAACTAGACTTAGCTCTCGTCGCAGGCTCCTCCCCAGTTAATGCTTTTGAATGAATAACCTGACAATCCTGAATTTTGAATTTAAATTAAACACTTTTTGCAACACTATTACTTAATAAAAAAAAACAATAACGTTTTACGTCCATAAAAGAAAGTAACATTAAGTAACATTTTTATCTAAATCGGCAGTTGACTAGAGTGCGTTAATTACTTAAGTATAAAATAGAGCATTGATACCATCAATAATATATTTTTACACGATGACTGACACACTATTACGCACATATTTCTGTATAGTCCAGACGCCATCTGATTTGAGTTGGATGTGAAGCATATAATCGCAGTTTTTTGTTTCAAGTTTTACTTAAAAAAAAAATTTGCATCAAGAAGAACTTTGAAATAGAAAAAATTTTTTTCTAAGCATTCTGTGAATGGTACCTACAACCCCGTTGCTGTTGTCAAGAAGAGACGTCAAAATGTGCTTTCTGTATCTGATTTACAACAGAAGTATATTGAGCCCATTCGGATTGCAAAAAAGAAACTTGAAAATGTGACATCATTATTACCCTACATACTTTTAGTGTATCATTCCTTCTACAATAGTCTACAGGAGGATGTCAGCCCTGATGTTGTTGATGAGGTCGCCCAGATGGTTGATTAAATAAGATTTTTGATATTTATTATTAATGTAACTATGTAACAAGCCACATTTTTTTTTAAATAAAGACTGTTTTTTTTTCTCAAGTTTGGAGTAATTTTATTAATATTGTTGTAAACATAGTTCCATAGGGCATGATGCATCGAGATATCTAAACTAAAACAACAGAAGTTGTTACCGGATTTTATATTTTTAACATTCAGAGTCTAATATCTCACTTTTACGTTTTTGAGACCTGTCATTGTTTCACATTAAGCCCTTCAATTATACAAAATTTTTATGTCTGATACAAAACTAATAGTTCTTAATACATATGCGAAAAAAGAAGGAAAAATATCGATTTTTTAAAAATTTTGTTCATATTTTGTTTAATCAAAAGTTAAGCCCATATTTTACCTAATGAAATTATCATTTATAGTGAAATTTTGGAGTGATTTATGCAAAAAACTGTTCACACTTCACACCCAAAAATGGTTATTTTTATACAGATACCGCCTGGATTACTAGGGCAATAATTTTTAAACATTTTACACTATATTTCGAAACTTTTCTCGGATATAGTACTGCACTAAACTATCAAGACTTTTGGAAGGTTATTTCTAGAGAAGACTAAGTTTCGAAAGATAAATACAAGTATTTTATCAATACAAGTTAAGGAAGTGGGTCAAGAAGCACACTCGTTATTAGAGGGATCAGAAGTCAGATGGACTATACAAGACAAAGTATACCGTGACTCAGGATAATTTAAGAAATTTTCCACTCTCCAGGATATCAACTTGATATTAAAGTTTAGCAGAAGTAATTCAAAGTTAATGTGCGTGTATGTAGGCTCAATAACGTTCATGAAGTAGTACTGCTCTGTCCCCTTCGGTATATTAATCATCGTTTGGCATGAAACAAATGAAGAAAGAGAAGAACAGAACCATACACTCTAGATCAGAAAACCAAAAAGTCTAGTCATGGCATAAAATACATCATTCTTGAATAGAACAACAGATTAAAACATAAAATCAATTGAAAGTTCTATCGAGATTTGAACAGTAAATAAATTTTTCTGTAATAAATAAAATCTCCTACACCAGCAATCTTATTCGGTAGCCATCGATCGATTGGTCTGTACTTGCTGAACGTTTCTAGATCTAGGCATATTCAAACGTATCACTTTCTTTGTACCATCAGAGCTATGTACGAGATTCCTGTCGTGCCGCCACTCCCACCTGTTCAACTCTTCCCTTCGACGTTTCCTGTCGAAGTAACTGATGACGCAACTAGCAGGAATCCACAACAAAGCAGTTACTAGTACGACCGTGCCCACAATATTGTCCCTTAAAAATAATAAGACTTTGTTGATGTTGATATCTTCTATTATGTCCCAGAAACGCTCAACTACATCTTGAACTGTCTTTTCGCAGTGACCCTAAAAGAAAAATGAGTTAATAAAAAATTATCAATAATAATTAACTTAAAATGCTAATAGAAAAAATATTCCCTCCCCCCATCACAACCGAAAAGTAAATAAGACAGACTGGAGGGTGCCTGTTTACAACATCCCTTCCATGGAGAGGCTTATATGCAACAGTGTCTCTTTCAGCGGCTTTGTTCTTGCTGTAAGCCCAATTAGTCCGCTAGCCTTCGACAGCTCAGTAGAGAAACTAAAATGGACTTTCAAAGTTGCTTTTATCTGGCCTGTTGAATTGATATAGTGAAATAAAACAATTACTTGTTTAGAAAGAAACTGTAATTGAAATAAGAAAGGGCAAGAAGTAGAACTTATAAAATTTGAGTGTGTAACTTATCGTAGGAACTTAATTTGAATATTACAATTTGCGAACGAAAGCAAAAACACCATAACACTTATTCACATATTACGGCTTCCCGGCCAATAGCGTAAACTGCAACGTGGAAAATCCTCTCCGAACTTTAAAATATAGATGTTAGCCCTACGAAAGTCGCTAAATCACTGTCGGTGTATCTGGTCGCCTCCCTCGCCCCGATGGAATATTTTTTTGTTTATGCATTTTGAAAAGCCGGTCTGTCGTCAAGTAGGCGCTGTGGGCGGGGATTAACATTCTCAGAAACAAGGTCTAGGTAGACTGGATTTATTTAGGTAACCGACGCGAAAATAGAATTATTTGATACAAAATAGAATTATTGGTTTGGAGATATAGTTCTCCAACACAGACATAACAGTCGGATATATGATCGGCTGTGGCACATTTAACAAATTTCTTCTACATTACGCTGATTATACAAGGCTACGCACTCGCCTTTTTCTATTGCAAATCCGCGTGTTGTTTATCAAGTTATTTCCAGGCTTCATTTTAATAATTAAATTTAACATGAATATTAAAAAATATGTATGTGGAAACATAGACTCGAATAGAGAAATTTGTGACAAGCTACGACAGAACTGTAATTTAAATCTTTAGAGATTAATAATTTAGTACATTTGAAATAATTTAATCTATTCTTCAACTAAAAGTACGAATAAAATAGTGCAAATTATGTCTGTAGTTGACGTAAATAAATTAAACCGGGTAAATTTGTCTATGCGCACCAGATAAAATGTCACTGAACAGCACTGGTTCCGACTAAAACATGGCTGATTCCGTCGGCGCAAACGAAATGCGCGTACTTATTTTTTAAGCAGAGTGGGCATTCTGATTGTTTATTATTCTGTGGTATACCCTTTAAATTTTTTTAGATAACTAGTTTTATATTATACAAAGAAATGGCTGCTAAAAAAGATATTGACAAGGCAAAAATGACCCAGGCCATTGAGCATGTTGAACGAACTACAAGGTTTGTTTTAGCACATCTTTATGATGAAATTTCAGAATTAAAAATTAGTCAATTGCAAACTAGAAAAGAATTAATAATAGAAAATTTTAATAAAGTTCAAGACCTTCATTGCGATATTGTATGTTTTGACAAGGAATATGACAATTCCCTGGAAGATATTGAGAAAGAGTATTTTAATACATTTAATTCATCATCAACATCAAATTCAAAATTAGAAATAGTAGTACAGAGCGTAAGTAATCCTCAAAATGTTGTACACAATTTCTTTTCAGCATCAAAAATTCTACCAAATGACATTCCTACATGTACTATAACAGGTTATAGACCTTGTATAGATTTATTTCTAGCTGTTTTTGATAAAAATAAGTCACTTCAAAATGTTGAAAAACTTTTCATTTAAAGAATCATTTGGAAGGCGAGACAAAAAGCCTAATTAATTAATGATCTACCTCTGGCAAATGACTCTTATGATGATGCATTGAAAATTTTAGATAACCGTTATAACAGTGAAACAATATTAATAAAATGTCACATTTATTCATTACTTGACATTCCCTCCATTGGGATATGATCCTTATATGCATTTTATTCAAAAAAACTAGGTCAATATACTAACCTGTCCCTTAACAGGGACAACTCAAAATTGACAAATTTAAAAGATTTCTTATGTTACCTTGAAAATAGGGCCACAGCCTTAGAAACTGTAACTGTTCCTGATTAAAAACATGGCGCTACCAAAAATAAGGTATCAAAAAACTCACTTGGTTACAAATAAAGTCAAATTAGAAGCCAGGTGTAGCTTTTGTTCACCCTCAGTTCATAAAATTTATAATTGTTCCAATTTCAAATCTGTTTCAGTAAGGGAAAGAGTGTCTTTTATACACAGGCATAGGGCTTGTATAGTACCATTTTGTTTGCCAAAAGAAACAAAATTCTCTGTTGCATTTGGACAGACATTCTCCATCAGATAGGACTGGACAGGGTAGCAGAAGTAACACAGATGATATGGTGATTACATTTGGTTCAATAAATGAAAAAACTGATGTTCTGTTGCCATCAGTGAAAGTAAAAATTAAATCAAAAAGGGATGATTATATCACTGCCAGAGGCCTCCTGGTTACAGGATCTCAAATATCGTTAGTAACAAGTAGATTGTTAAGTGAATTCAACTTAAAAACATTCAATAATAATTGCAATAAAATACTTTTTGGCTAAAATGTAATTAGCTGTAGGATATACACAGACTTTCAAGTCGCAGTGTGCAAAGCTCTGTAAGTCCAAAAGACTCCATTGAAATCTACCATACAACATGAAGACTAACTCACCATACATTAAGAGAAACAGAACACCAGAAAGGCAAACACCAAAAATCTAAGCAGACACACTATTAAGTTTAACAAAAGCAGTTCAAAGTAGCGATTACACTATCACAGATCCAGCGAATCAATAAGTCAAAAACCACATAATAAGGAGGCAGCTAGATAAAATCCTAATGAGAGATATCGCCAGAATATCAGCGCAGTTTTTCCACCAACAATTGAAAAAATCCGTTCGAACTACCGGTAGAGAATATTTCGATTTTGCTACTTTATCAAGAGCTCTGCATTAAGTAACCATTGCACAAATAACTACCATGACAGGACAGACCCCTTATTGTCATCCTCAAAGAATAACTATAACGAGAAGAAAAGGAGAATACAACCATAAAAAAGAAAATCACAATGTCACTTTGTAAATAAACGGAATAGAAGAAAGATGAAACTTACGAGGTGAAATATTGTTATCGTTTGCAAATACCGAATTCAAAATTCTAATAAATGTTTAATCTTATTCGAAACATCTTTCTTAAAGTTGTTTCGTTGAGTGTCTTCCTTACAACAGGGACCACCTTCTTCATCTTGTACTCGTTGCAGTTTATTTTAATTAAAACCAAAAAAAAAAACAGAAAATACCCATTAAGAGATATTACCACGAGAAAATTGTTGATGTCTGAAACAGGAAAACCGTTAAAAATTTAGAGAATTGTAAAGGAAACGGTGGAAAATCTGCAAGGAATCTAATATTTGTGATATGTAGGAAAAGTAACGCGATATTAAAAAAATACTAAATAGAACTATGAAAGAAAATGAAGAACGACGAAGATCACAAAATAAATTACTAATATTCACTGAATCTGACCTACAACTACTAAAAAGTCAATAACTCGAAGAGAAAAAAGCCAAAAAGAGACAAAACAGTAAAATTTGGCGAAGAGCCTTAGTTATTTACGGTCTGTAGCAGCATTTGTATATAAAATACTCGGAAGAGTATTGTAAGGTAAGGGAAACAAACCCTTAAGTTATTTTAATTCTTAATAAACTTTTTAGATTTAATTATTTACTTGGGTTTCGAATTGAAACTAGGTCAATGCCAAAGTATGATATTGGTAAAATAATTATTAAGCAAATAAGTGAGAATGTTATTGTTATTGTCGTATTATTATTATACTCAGGCCTTGGAGGCCGCATATTTAAAAGCAATCTATTTTCAATCGACAGAGTACATTCTGCTGACTGCTGAGTTAATATTTGTAATAAAGTGAGAAGTAATATCCCTTTATTCTTGAACCCCACAAGAGCGCTCGAAGCAACACAGGATCTTAATTTTAGATTCTCTAACAGCCAAATCTAATGAATCCAATTCATATACTCACATTATTGCAGAACCCTTGAATGCATGGAGTTCCATCGGCCAAAATATCAGCTGAATCAACTGGAGAACACGTCTCATTAATGCTTGATCGGCAACATCTCTTACACGCGTTTTCAACTATAAAAAATTTAGTAGATTATATATATATATATATATATATATATATATATATATATATATATATATATATATATATATATATATATATATATCAATCACATTAGGTTGAAGTACTTACTGACATCACACATGCAGCTCTGCATGCCCTGAGTTTCGCAGAAGGGTATGCATTTACCATTTCTACATTTACCCCTCTCTTGACAATCTGTTCCATCTGCCATGGGCGGACTTTTGGGACATTCCGCCTGTTGTCCAGTGCATCTCGACTCCTGTTCACATGTAGCGTACTGTGCATCCCTGCATTTGACGCCGTTGCGCATGAATTGACAATTCTGACAGCAAGGTGAATTTTTATCGCTGAAAAATACAAACAAAAATATACTAACGAAGGCACATTGTAATCCAAAAATTTAAACGATCCTATAATAATAATAAATTCAAGTCCTGCAACTTTTCTACAGCGACAATTCAGTTGTAAGTTAAGTACCAAAACAGACTGCCCAAAAATATTACGAAAGGTTCTAAAATGCTAAATATACACACCAGCAATTTAAAAAGAATCGAGGCTTTCGAACTCTTGTTATACCGCAGAGTACTAAAAATATCATGGACTGATAGAATTACAAATAAAGAAGTACTGGAGAGGGTTGGTAAATAAACAAAACTAATCACCGCTATACAAACCAGAAAACTGGAATACATACCTAGGCCACGTGATGATAGGACCAAAATATGCAATTTTGAGATTCATAATACAGGGAAAGATTCAAGGAAGAAGATCTGTTGGCCGAAGGCAGAACTCATGGTTAAAGAATCTACGTGATTCGTATCAATGCAGATCGATTGATTTGTTTAGAGCAGCAAGTTCTTAAATAAAAATAGCCATTATGATTGCCAGCCTCCGTAGGGAGACGGCACTCTTAGAAAAAATGAAAAAAAAAAAACAGTTAAATTTAATGAAATGAAAGGAATATCTCGTATTTGCCGATTGTGTATTAGAGAGATTATAACTGCCATGTCAAAGTCAACATATAGATAAACATAACAAGTTATTGTATATATATATATATATATATATATATATATATATATATATATATATATATATATATATATACTATATATAACCGATATATATATATATATATATATATATATATATATATATATATATATATATATATATATATATATATATACTATATATAACCGATATATATATATATATATATATATATATATATATATATATATATATATATATATATATATATCGGTTTTAAAACGTTCTCCTACGTCTTCCGATGCCTAGTCGCCATTCACTTCGGTCCATCCAAAGGTCTTTATGCCTTCTCTCCAACTAAGGCGGGGTCTTCCTCTTTTTCGTCTACCATGAGGGGTCCACGTTAGGATTTGTTTCGGGAGTCGTTCTTCGGACATTCTTTGTACGTGTCCATACCATCTAAGCTGTTTGGTACTAATGTCATCTACTATTGTGTGTTTCACATTCATTATTTCCCTAATTCTGTTGTTGGTTACCCTTTCTAATCTTGATTTTCCTGCTGAGCGCCTCCAGAAATCCATTTCTGTTGCTTCAAGTTTTCTCTTGTATCTTTCTATTATTTGCCATACTTCACTGCTGTAAGTGATTATACTCTTAACAATTGTATTGTATATTCTATGTTTGTTGTTGTTTGATATTGCCTGGTCCCACAGTATGCTATTGAGAAGGGTAATTGCTTTTCTTCCCTGGTTGTTTCTTTCTTCTATCGTCCGGTCTACGTTTCCTTCTTGTGTGATGGTCATACCCAGGTATTTATATGCGTCGCAATGTTTAATAATTTCGCCATTCCCCAGTGTAAGGTCCTGCTGTGTTCCACCGATACAAATATATTCGGTCTTTTTTATGTTTATTTCCAAACCCCTTTTTTGTACTCCTCTATTAATTTCCTTGTCATATATTCTATATCATCGTAGTCTTGTGCTAGTACAAGTTGGTCGTCTGCAAATGACAAAGTGTATATTGTATTGTTGTTGATCGGTAATCCCATGTTTTTGCATTTGCGTTTCCAAAGTTTTAGAGTTTGCTCGAGGTAGATCTTAAATAATGTCGGTGAAAGGCAGCACCCTTGTTTTAGGCCTTTGCTAATTTGGAATCCTCTCGATAGCCCGCTTCCAACTTTCACCCTTGCTGCAGTTTTGGTATACAATTGTTTCGTCGCTGTTATTAAATTTGCGCTTATATTGGTTTTCTCTAATGCTTCCCATAGTTTGTTTTGTGGGATGCTATCATACGCTTTTCTCAAGTGCACATATAACAGATGCACCTCCTGGTTGACGGCCAGTTTCTTCTCAATAATCTGTGTAATACAAAACAGATGGTCTACCGTTGATCTCCCTGCCCGGAATCCTGCCTGTTCTTCAGCTTCTATATCTTTATATTCGTTTTCGATTTTATTTTTAATCAGTTTTCCGTATACTCGGCTGATCGAGTTCGTTACAAGTTATTGTGTCAGTTTTAAAACTTTTCTATTATGTAAAATTCTTCGACAAACTTTTAAGTTTTTAACACTGTATGTTTCGTTTAATCTAGTTGTAGAATCTGTAAAATCTAGAACATTTAAACGCTTTCAAAATCATTCGCAGATTTAAATTAACAAGTAACATCTGTTGGTCTTAACAAGTCGCTAATGGCCTCAGAAAATATTGACATATGCCTACCAAATGAATATATTTTTAAAGTAATATTAAGAGAAAGGCCAGCTAAAGACCAGTGTATTTAGGAACGGATTATCGTTTCTTTAGGTTTTAGATAATCCATACAAATTTATTAAGTGTTTTTAAGTAATAATGTTATGAATAATACAAAATGGGCAACTAAATGCCTACATATCAGCCTACCACAGAAAAAGACGTTTTAGTACATGAATTAAATAATACCAGTCGTATAAATACTATATTATCGAAGAAAAAAAATGGATTACCTGCACATAGCCTTTGATCTTAGTTTACAATCCTTATCACAGCACGCGTCATTGTCTTCGGTTCCTAATAGACCAGCATCGCATTCTTCATCCCCTTCAACTCTTAGATTACCACAGAAACTTTCTTCCGGTTCTGAGAAGCACTTGCCAGATTTAGCCTGCAGCACCTTTCTGATAGATCTTAAACTACATGGGGAAAATTTCTAAAAAAAAACACCAATTATAAACAATATTATGAGACACAATAATCCTAGGACATAAAGCGACCGATAATCTCCAAGAGTGTATTGAATCTGCTCTGAAAGGTCAGTACTACCATAACTACAAAAATACATTCTACAACAGAGAAGAGACATAGGGATTCATATGTTCAATGGATAGATGTGGAGATGCAGGCTGAAAAAAACAATCTTATCTATTTCGATTTTATACTTACTTTATTATTTACATCGTATCCGCTAACACTATAGGTATACATAAGATAAGAGCCCCCTTGACTAGCACTCGGAGAACATTCTGGAATATCGGGGTCGTGTTCTGATCCCCAGTTATGTCCAAATTCGTGGGCAGTTACCAAATCTGCTTCTCTAGTAATAACTCTTTGGCCGTAGTGATTTCTACTGGAGCTAAGACCAGAGTTTAAGTACAAAGTATAGCCATTTTTAAAGTACTCTAAAAATGGTAGGGTTATATTATTATTGATACTAGTTTTAAGACTAAATAAGCACATATAATTTAACTAAAGACCACAATGAAGAGTTACGTGAGAGCGCTAAAAAGTAAGTGCAAAAAACAATATTAAACTAACGCAAGCTTATGTACGGCGTGTCTATTAACTGTATATAAATTAACTTTGATCTGATCTCCTCTTGATGTAATGGTACCATAATACCGCTATTCCACTCCGCTGGTAACTGCTTATTCGACCATATTTTTGTTATCAGTTCATGTATTGTTTTTAGCAATAAATCTCACTCCTTCCTTAAGTAGCTCCGATGTTATTTGACCCGATCCCGATAATTTATTGTTCGTTAATTTTTCTGTTGTTTTAGTTTTGAGACCTTTCTCTGTTGTCTGCTTCATCTAATGGTATATTAGACTTCATTAGACACATCGTTGATCTCGGTTTGAATTATTTTCGGCTTGTGTAGTTTCTGGTAAACTTTCTTGTCTCTTTTGGCTTACTACTCTTGTAGTTTTTGTTGGTATTACAATTATATAATGTATATTTTTACGTGTTAAGTGTTGGCACCACCTGTCAGTGACACTAAAGTCAACGTCAACAAGTAGAACATAGAGACATTGTAATCAGGAATTTGTGTTAAAATAAAAACGTTTATTTTTGTCATACGGGTCCTAAAGGTTATGGGCCAGAGTTGTGGAAATTTAAGAAGCTTACATAGTGGTGATCAGAAAACAAAAGTGTTTACGGAAACGTGGTACAAAACTCTGGTGGAAACAAATGTTGTAAACATCAAACTCTTTGATCATCAAAACTATTATCTTGGTAACACATCCCTAAAGTTTTTGAAGTTCTTTGTTCATATTTTCTCTATTCTTGATTCGGTGAATGTTCTTTTTATTTACGTAGTTGTTTATATTCCTCTTCTGCTTGTCGGGTTCTGTGTCCCCGTACAGTTGCATTAGTAAATATGCTCTGATTTTTTATGTTATAATATGACATTATTCGTCTAACCAGCCATTCGTTCGTGTTCTTCTTTGTTTCCCTTTCATGCTTCTTTTTTTCTCAAATTCTCCCTCCTTCTGTATTGTTTTAACATTTCAATTCTCTGGCATTCATATAATGTGACCAAGCCAACTAGCTTTTTGAGCTCGTATTTTTGCCGTAATTGCTGGTTTTCCATACATGATCATTATTTCTTAATTTGTTCATCTTCTTCAAATATTCTCTGGCGTCTTTATTCTTCCGAAGATTTTTCTGAGCACCTTTCTTTCCCAGATCTCTACTTTCTTTTCTTACTACAGGCTCTTAATCCACGGTTCACTGGCATACATCACTGTGGGTCTGATTACTGTCTTGTAGACCCGCAGTTTAGCTGTTTTTGACACATTTTTTGCTTTCAGTAATGAATTTAGTGACCCTATCGCTCTGCTTCCCTTCATTAATCTTTTGTCTATCTCTTTTTCTTCTATTCCCGTGTTCGTTATGGTTACTCCTGTAACTCCTGTGTAAGTATTGAAATTCTGACACTTTTTCAAAACTATAGACAGCCTCTGCTCCTTTCATTTTGATATAATATGTGTTATGTCTCCTCTCATTTCCATATATTGCGTTTTTGTTTGGTTTATTATTAATCCGTATCTTTCCGCTTCATCTTAAAATTTCTGGAAAACTTTTTCTAAATGTTTTTTTGTTCTCGCTAGTATCACATCATCCGCGTACGCTATGCAATTTTCCATGCTATTGATAATAGTCCTGTTTGTGCTCATATTTGATCTTCTTACGATTTGTTCTAATACAATTCATCGATAGCGGATCCCCTTGTTTCAAACCTCTATTCACTGTGAACTGTCTTGAAAAGCTTCCTTCCATTGTTACCCTATTTATCGTGTTCCTAAGCGTCATTATCTTACTAGCAGTATAAGCTTTTCTGGTATTTCTAATGTTCCATAGCCTCATATAGCATCGTTCTTTGTTTCTTTAGCAATCGGCTCTTTGTTTATGTAGGCTTCTTCTATGTGTTCAATTGCTTTTCTAGCTGTTCTCTTTTCTTTTTCTGCAAATTCTTTTCACTTTACTTCTTCTTGCCACATAGTTTTCGATCGCATTTTGGATATTTTCTTTATCTCTTTGTAGTTTTGGTTTGATATTCCTCGAAAATATTTTCAGTTAATTGTTGGAAGTTGTCTGTTAAGTATGTAAATAAATCTATTCCACGATATAACTTTGCGACTGCTTTGAAAACATTTCCAGATCATTAGGTAATTACACATCTAACATTAAGACACAGATTTAAAGCATGCATGTTAATTTAAAGCAAAAGTTACAGAACGGCACCTATAAATACCTGGGGTGCAAATACCACCCACGGAATTGCGCCTAGGCGACCCAACGTAAGCCAGCCCCAAAATACCACCTTCAAATTTGAGGTCCGTAAAAAGGTGAGCCAAGCAGAAATCTTTGTGTGTATACTCCCTGCTAAATACCTAATCACCAAGTAATAATTATTTGGATATGTTAGAAAACACCAATATTAATAATTACTGACCTATAAGTAGGTATTGATAGAATTAACAATAAACAATATTCTTCACAGATCATCAATGGAAATGTCATAGTACAATAGTAATATATGTATACTTATTCTAATTACTTATTTCTTCTTACTTATTTCAAAATTGTAATTTATAAATTTTGAAATAATACCTATTTACTTAAGTAATAATTTTGCGCTACTCGTAGTAGTAAAGGGGGCTTTAACTTTTCGCATTAAAAAAGAAAGAAACATTTTTAATTAATTAGTGCACCTATTCAATATCAATACCTACTTTAATATTGCAGTATACAATAATGATGCAGTTATAATGTGATTTTTATGATTAAAACATTTTTTAAATACAAGACACACATTTTAATTGAAAAATTAATCCCGCCACCAGAGAGAGAGAAAGACAGCAAAAGAAATACATTAAAAATAAATTCAAAGCACCAATGCAGATAAATTATTGCTGTCTTCAATATCGTTATTATATATATATATATATATATATATATATATATATATATATATATATATATATATATATATAAGAATAATAAGAAAATTGGGAAAACTACTACTGGGAAAAGGACTACTCCCAGAAAGCTGCCAATATTTCATTGCAAGAGACACAGAACAGCAACAACAGAGTCAAATGAAGAGCTAAGATTGATTAGCTAGTAAAGGATGAGTCATAAACAGTAGGCCATATTGTGATTGTATTTCCAGAAACCAAAAAAATAACATTTTACTTAACAAAAATGGGTCTATGATCTCCAGTTTTCGCGCTATATAATATTAACTTTGTAAGAATAAAACATATTTTTGTTAAAACATATCAGCAACATATGTTTTCCAATTCTCAGCATATTTTAATTTTACAAAATTAACACTATTTAGACAATTCTTTATGACTCATCCTGTATATTGATTTATATTAACAGAATAAAACTATTAACATTGCGAATCTATCTGTATTGGTCTTTTACATTTAAAAATTATAAAAAATAATAAAATAAAATAATAATAATAACCCTTGCTACAAATGCCTCCTCTGGTATTCAATCTAGAAGATGCAATATACGCCAAGCCAAGGACAACAGAATTTCTAGTTTTAAATGTTTGGTGCGTGAATAAATGTGCTAAACAATATCCCGCATTGTCTTTATTTCTAGAAAAAGCCTATGGGAAAATAAATTAAAAACAAATATTAATATTCAAGCCAAACAATGTTAATATGTGTAAATAAAATATAAAGAATTAAAGTAATTTTATAATGGACTTGGTTTAGTGTCAATATTGAATAACCAAAACATTTAGCAGACAGAAAATGATAGGTTTTAATTGGCAATTACATTTGTCTTCAAATCTAAAACCAATGCTTTAATATTTTTATTATTTTTTAGAATACCTTGGATAGCAGATGGAAACAAATAGAAACGAACTTAGCAATGAAAATGGACAATTATTATAAGATGTTAGATTGTATAGAGTATGAAGAATAAATAGCAAGAATCTTTTACGGAACTAAAACAATGGAGAATGGACATAGAGGTCCTTACTGAAATAAAGAAAAAGGGGCAAATAAACGAAATAATAGAGAAGAATATTCTCATCACTACAATAGACTAAATAAAGACCAACTAGCAAAAAGGAACTGTTTGTAGTATTAAGAAAAAAATATAATAAATATATCAAGAATCGGATTAGCCATGAATGAAAGAATAATCAGTGTGGACATGAAAATAAAACAGATGGAGATAATGTCTTGAATGAGACTGGAAAAAAACAGATTAACCTATATGACCAGTATCATTAAGAATATGTAATGGTTTCTTTAAACATAAAGGGGTACATAAATATACATAAATAAAAAAACAATTCTCAATCCAAAATCAATAATAGACTATGACATTGTTAGACAAGAGTCAATGATCAAGGTTGGAGAAACAAGAGTATCTAGCCAGACCACCATTTGGTGAGATCAAGAATATATATATAAGAAATATTGAACTGTCTAATAAAAATAATATGTAATGAAGGTGAAAATATAAAATCAAAATGATACTCTACAGATAAACTAAACGAGTTGATCTTTTTTCTTTATAAATTGAGACTAGCATCAAAAACAAAGATATAAGAGGAATACCAAATAAAAAACAATATATAAACATAAAAATCCAAATACATCTAGCAGCAGAAGAAGCAATTGGAAGGTAAAATGACCAGGATAAATTATAAAAACAAAATAACCTTCTTGGTGGACAGCAAAGATAAAAACCAAATAAAAGAAAAGAAAAAATCTTACCAAAAGTAGATGCCCATAGAAAATCAAGAAGAGAGAAGACAATACAGAAGGCAAATCTATGAAACAAAAAAAGATGGAAATTAAGAGCAAAAAAATTTAAATATAAGATAGTGTCATAAGAAGATCAAAAGCAAGGGAGACATGGGTAAAATATTACTCAGAGTTACTACAAAAAAAAAAAAGATTTAGTATTTTTTTAATTTAAATCTTTAAAATCAAAAAGATATCCCATAAAAATAATTTTAACTGTTACTCAAAGAACTAAAAATATTTTAATTGTTAATAAAAATTGTTAGAACTACTCGTCTATGTATTTACCTCTAGCAAATTTCTGACATCCCATTTGTCTCTAAACATATTATAGTGAGCTTCACCGGATTTTATTCGAGTAGGATCACTGTGAACAACAATTTTCTTAATTACAAATCCCATACCTTTAAAACCATCCACTTCCTGCCGATCTTGCCAGCTTGTGTCATTATATATTTTGTGAACACGATCAATTAGACTAATCTGAAAAATAAAAAATAGATTCAAACACATAGAAAAAAAAAAGATTGCAAAAACTAGTTGAAGGTATTTTTAAATTTCTTTCACTATTCAACTCACTAAATAATTTATAGTGGTTTTAGTATTACTCCCACCCATTTCTTGGAAAAATCTGTAATCAGCAACAAGTAGCAGTGGACATCGAGTCTTGGTTGGAGTGTACTCATATTGGTCGATCTGTCTCTTTTCCCTTACATGCTCCCCAATCTCTTCATCTACAATATCTTCGTCACTCTCTAGTTCAGCACCTTCTTTCACATAATCACAAACCTTGTGTCTCGGTTGGTGTTCAGGAGATTCATGGGAGTCCCAACTAAATTTAATATCAGATTGTTTGTAAACAATCATCGTACGATTATTAAAATTAGGTAAATGTCTCCAAGACGGTTCTATATGAAATGTCTCATCTGGTAGATGTATGCTGCCAGTTAACATACCATCGTCCATGTGCATACTAACATGTGAATCTGTTTCTCCAAACATTCTTCCATGGTAGAAATCATCACGATCTACAAATAAAAACATAATTCTAAGTAAGTAATAATAATTATAAAACATTTATATTACTTATATGAACACTTGTTTCCTTGCCATCGCCGTCTACAGCATATGCTTTAAAATTGGAATGCAAAATGTCTCGTTTTGGTGAAAGAATCAACCGAAAATCTCTTCCGTGAGTTCGTAAGTTAACCTCCTTTATATGATTGTATGGGTGAGTACTTTCCTTGACACCCCTCTTGACTAGTTTATGGGTTAGTTGATCGGAATGGATAGTCTCATAATATTTTATATTTTTATGTAAAGTGCCTACAAAATAATATGAAGAATAAAAAATATAACAATGTTAGAATATAAATTACAATAATTATACATAAAATTGCCACAAGATTTCAGATGACAATAAACTTCACTGCCAGTAAGAATTACTACTATCTTACTCCAGTCAAAGGGATATCACATTAAACAGATTAAACATATAAAACTAGAAATTGTTATATCAGTTATAATACATTAAAACACATTAAAAACTAACCTGTAGCATAATGTATAAGTACTAAGGATAAGTTAAAAATGAGAAAGTACCAACACCCAAATTCCATATTTGAAAGTTTAAGTTTTATCTATTCATACATTTAGGAAACATTAATGTTTATTTATAAATGTATGTAGTGATAACATTTTAGTTTTCATCACAGATCATGTTTTTATCAATCCAATCAGCTGATTGTTGTCTTTATTCAATATGTCATGTGTCATCCAAAGTACATAGCCCCAATGACGTATAATATGTCATTGCATAGCCCTCTATACATGATACCACAGAATAATAAACAATTGTTTATTATTCTGTGGCTATGGTATCAGGCAATGACGTATAATATATAGACTCGGTGAACGCTTTAAAAAGTGTCCAAAACATGAATACCTTTGTTATTGTTTATTGTTTTGATACGAAGATGCACGAAGTTCATGATTTCTTACGAAGCATCACGAAGTTGATCTTGTGTTTGAAAACATCATGGACGTACTCCATTTTGTGTGACAAGCAAATTTTATTTTAAATTGTTGAGAGTTATTTACTTACTATTTTAGTAAAATGCCATACTATTTTATCAAAATAATTATTTCTCTTATAGACGGGAACAAAAAGAAATCATAAATATTTAATTTTAATTAAAAAAATAATTATTGTCATTAACATATAAATGAGCACGCCGCTGTTTTGATAAACATACCTTCAACCTTGAGCCGAGATCTTTCGGACACTTGATTCTATCTTCTATAGCGAGAATAGGGGACTGCGTAGTCTATATATTATACGTCATTGGTATCAGGTATCATCCATGATAATAAGACCACCAATGACGTATAATAAACGTCATTGACTAAGACTAAGAAGATAAGATATTATAAAATATTATTATATAATATCTTGTATATATAAATATATTACATAAAATATCCAAAAATATTCCGGACATTCAAAAGAATCGGTAACAGTTATTCTCGACACAGCAGAGACACTTGTCGATCTTACCATTATCACAGAATAATAAACAATCAGAAGGGCCACTCTCAGATGCCGCCTTTGAAGTTTTTCAGCACGCTCGCCATGTTTTAGGAGGACACAGACATATGATTTGTGTGGTTATGTAATTGTTTATATTCAATGACGTATAATATATAGACTACGCAGTCCCCTATTCTCGCTATAGAATCGAGTGTACGAAAGATCTCGGCTCAAGGTTGAAGGTATGTTTATTAGAACAGCGGCGTGCTCATTTATATGTTAATGACAATAATTATTTTTTTAATTAAAATTAAATATTTATGATTTCTTTTTGTTCCCGTCTATAAGAGAAATAATTATTTTGATAAAATAGTATGGCATTTTACTAAAATAGTAAGTAAATAACTATCAACAATTTAAAATAAAATTTGCTTGTCACACAAAATGGAGTACGTCCATGATGTTTTCAAACACAAGATCAACTTCGTGATGCTTCGTAAGAAATCATGAACTTCGTGCATCTTCGTATCAAAACAATAAACAATAACAAAGGTATTCATGTTTTGGACACTTTTTAAAGCGTTCACCGAGTCTATATATTATACGTCATTGTTTATATTTATGTTTAATTATATTATATTTATGTTATTATATTTAACAATGTTAATATAATTGTATAGTATGTCTATGATTGCCGTAAGTCAAATAAACCTGGTTAATTTTTCCAAGCACACCACATAAACGACACTAATTTCTTTATAATCCTCCTAAAACATGGCGGAACGTCTGCGCGGAGGAGATGCGCGTACTTAATTTTCCGTGGAGAGTGGGTATTCTGTTTGTTTATTATTCTGTGCCATTATAAGTTTATTGAAGATTAAATATAAAGAATAAAGTTAACCAGCTTACGTAATGGAATAGGTTTAAACTTAAAAAAAGTTAATGTAAATATGAAATCTACCAATATTTTCGTTTTTGCAACTAAAATTTTAAAACTTTTTATTTTTTAACTATTGCGACTTTTTTAGTTGAATATATGAAAAATTGCCTAAAGTATTTGTATCCTTTGTTCGCATCTTTATGGTATGAAATTAAATAGAGATAGGCATAAGGTTGATTAGATGTCATATTTAAAATTCTGAAGCTTTTCATTTTCACTAATTCGATCGAATTTCTTCGACCATTCTTCGACTTTCCATCCTGTTCTTACACATGCTATGTTTGACAGTATGGTGTTTATTCGTGCAAAATGTGGTAAATCGTAGTTGTTGGTGGAGATAAAGCGTTGTTCTTGTTGATTGTTGTGAATTTTATTAGATGAACAAAAGTAATGTAAAAACAAAATATCCCGCAAATTAAAAACTATAGTTTAATAGTTTCAATATAACTTAATTGCAATTGGGTTTTAATTGAATACAGTATACATCATTTAAAAAAATGACTAGTGAGCTGAACTCGTATTTTCTCTTTAAAACACGATTAAAAAGGTCAAAATTAATATAAAGGTATTAGATGGCGTATTTGAGAACTAATAGTGAGTGAAAATTATGTGTTTAGTAGGGAATGAGCATAAAAATAAGTGAATACTGCACCTAACCTCACCTATAATGATTTGGTTTCTATTTCAAAAACAACGTATTAGGTTATACGTTTTATTAGTCAGGACTTTTAATTTGCTTTTCTAATAAACTTATTTCAAAGGTTTTCTTGTTTATTTCAGATATTTGTTTTGTTATGAACAATTTTTACTCCGGTTAATTACTTTCCGAATTAAAAACCGTTACGTGCTTAGTTTTGTATAAAACAATGTGTAAGGCTAGATTTTCGGTGATGCCGCTTAAAAATGATAAAAATTACAATGAACAATTCTAAAAACATCAGTAATTTTAAATTTCGTCGCAATTTTGATGTAATTTGCCAAGCATAAACAATGGTCAAAACATAAGACGAGTTAGTTCGAAAATGTCCGAAGATTTTCATGATGAAAATAATAGCTCAAAATTGTCGAATTGTGCTAATCCCTTTGAAAATTCAAATGAAATAAATACCGCAGAAAACAGCGATTATAGTGACGAAGAAGATATTAATGTCATCGAAAATGTGTTTACTAATCATTTGCAAAACGGGAATACAAGTGAAGAATTAAACAGTAGTGCGTCATTCAACTGTAACTGTCAAACATCTGCCAAAAGTGAGGTTAAGTTATTTTCTAACTGGCTAAGGCTCACTTCTAATCTTTTACTAACTGAGTGTGATCGTAGTCTCGAACAAGAAAGGGAGATATCTCTTTTACGAAAGGAAAATGAAATGGTAAGTCTTACACTAGATAGCTTTTAAAAATTGCTCGGCGTTTAGACTGCAAGTAAAGAGTAAGAATTGGGGTATTTATTTAACTATTCTACATTTTTCCCTGTACAACTGAAGTTGGTCGTTCGTTTTGTTGTTATTTTTTTTATTATAATCCCTGACACTTTCACAATACGTTTTTTATCCCGATATTTTACTTATTTTAAATATGTTTTGCTGTTATTATGATACCTTGTTTGTTTACTTATTCGGCGACTTCATCTTTGGTTTCAATCATTTTTTGTTAAAAGTTAATTGACTATAATCCATCATTTACATGTTTTAGCTTAAGGAAAAAATAAGTCGTTTGGAGAAGGTTATTCCTCTACAACTTAATGAAAAACAAAACACAGAAGACATTATTTTTAAACCAACCACAGAAGACATTAATTACGAGGTTATTTTAGAAGATATGACCCAAGGCCCTTTGAAAGAAGAAATACAAGAGGAAGTTCAAGTTGTAGTTCAACAAAATTCTCCAAATGATCATAGTTACACCGAACTAAGTGATTATAAGACTGAAAACAGTCTCAGTTTACTTACTTGTGAATCTCAAACACCTACTGTGACATTAAGTGATGTGAAAGATGAAGAAAATAGTGTACATAGTGAAACTGAACTAAACAGTGAAGAACTTTTAATAGAAAATCTAGACGATAGTTGGAAACACGAAAGTGACTTTAATTTAGGTGACAATATAGAAGTGTCTGGTTATCATTTCTCTGTAAACAATATTAGTGAGTTTGATCCCATGAAAAATTTAAAAATGAGTATCAGAAGGAAAAGAGTTACTAGTAACTCTTCTGGGTTATCACATAATGAATCTCTCAATTTGGAGGAAAAAAGGACATACAAAAGGAGATATAAAAAGAAAAAACGGCGTAAGTAACATTGTTTTTAAGTTTTCCCGCTTTTATTATTTGTACCTACTTTCTTCATGGATAGATGGCGCAGCTGTCTGAGTTTGTGATCGCCATTTTTTATCCACTATTTATATTTAAACACTTATAATTAGTTCTTTTATTTATTATGGTTTTAATTATTCAATATTATATCAAATTTTAAAACGAAAAACCAACAATTACCATATGCTGGTTTGTATTGGTGCCCCTGCTGATTAAAAGATTTGGATTCAATTTTTTTGCACAATATTTAAATCATCCACTCAGATCTTCCCACTGACATTCATCCAAACATTTTTTTGTGTGAAAAAAACTTTTTTTAATTTTTTTGGATAATTCTTAACAGAAAATATTTCTGTCAACTTTTCTTTAAAATCAATTTATCGAGATTTAAGGATATTATGTCCAAAAACTCAGTATGATGGCCACTTAAGTCTCAAAACAATGGCAATTTTCAATATTTCATGCATCCCTGTGATTATTGTGTACAGCAATAGATATATGGCTCTTCACAGAACCTTTTTTCAGTAACCAATTTCTTTCCACTATTTGTATAGCGCCAAATAAATTGTATATCTTGATTATTTCTCACAGAAAATCAACACACTGCATCATTCAAATATATTCAACTATTCAGAAACTACATTTACAGATATTTAATTGGTTGGCATTGATAATTATGTCAGCCACTAACCAATCAAACTGTGCAAATATTGGAATTAGAATTGTTCTTACATGAGCTAACAATATTGTAATGCTCAAAGGACATATAATGTCAAAGTCTTCTGTGAAGTCATCCAGAACAGAATTTATAGAGTGGTAATTGTAACCCATGATACTATAACAGACAAGATATGCTCACTTGCCATTTTAATTTTAATCAACTTTGTCCATTACATCATAGCAAGACAAAGCCAGGGAACTTGTGTGTATCATATTTTAATGATGCATCATATCGAAACTTAAACTGTTAACAGTAAGTATACCTCGATGCCACATCTTGTACTAAGAAGTCATAATTAGTTAATTTCTGTGAGAAAGTGGTTTGAAAATTAATAAGTAATTTGTAAAATTAATTAAAGAAATATATGAATCTACAATTTGATTGTGTGTATCACAAACAAAATAAATATTGCTACAAAACATAAATTAAATATAAAAGGCCTGTAAAATGTAAAGAATTTGACCATAAAGGAAAAGCGGGTCATACTTGAGACTTTATAAATATCATTTAGACATTTATTTTACAATCTTTGTGATTTTTCTCTTGCGGATATTGTAATTATCTTTAATATTTTTATTTAGAATTTGTATTTTAAAATATATTTTACATCTAAAAAAAAGTAATTTTACATCTTCAATATCATTTACATATTTTGTAGCTTCCATTAAGTTTTTTAAATAATTTTTTTTGTTATTTTTAATGTGTCGCTATTATAACTACGAAAAATATGTTCCAGTTCACTACATACTACATACATCCAAACTTACTTTTTTTAAAGACGTATCAAAAATAAAGTATTACTTCAAGTTCTATTAAAATGGTCATTAGTATATATTATTATCTATAGAAACATTTGTTCTGCCGTCTAAAACCAAAATACTTACATATTTTTTAATACATATCTTTTCTCCATTATTTTTGTGCATCTATTTTCAGGCGATGTTTCAGCGCTTTGGGATTTTATTAAATGAAGAGAAGGTATGGCATCATTTCTTAATTTCCACTGTTTGTCAGGCAATCCCAATAGCTTTTCTTTTAAACAGTAATCAGCTTCTGTAAAATGTTTCGAGCATTTTCTCTTGGTTTCTACATTAAATTTGTCTCACTGAAAACACTTGGAGACCCATACTTTACGCATTTGTTTGTCTCTAGGAAACACAAAAAAAAGACAAGTCGAAAAAGTTTTACTTTTTTGATTATTAATAACAAATTAGGTGATATTAACACAGTAAACTGAATGTTTTCACCACAAAATTTATATAACAATATAATATACAAAGTCTTTACTACATCAATGAATAAATGAAAATATTATTAACTATGTTTTGAAATGCACAGCATAGCATAGCAAACTCGATTAACACAAACATAATTAACATGAACACTTATGAGCATTTAACTTGCCATCATTAAAGTTGTCTCTAGCTTACTTCACAGGTGTGTGAGAGAGATGCAAGAACATGTGCGTTGACTTATCTTGTTTTGTTATAGTATCATGATTATAACCTGCAAAAAATTTATTTGTAATTGTACCTGTTTTTTAAACAACTAAAATGTTTTGCATTGAAAGTGCAGTAAATTTGTATTAAAAATTAGGTTTATGTTACTAATTAAAAAAAATATATTTGTTTATTTTTAAGGGGTCACCAAAGATACAAATGCTTTAACATCCTTAGAACCTTATGTTACTCAATCACATGACGTAAATTTGGGAATTCCTGCGATAGAAGTTGATGTAGCAGAATGTACGGAAGCTGCGTTAGAGGTAAGGATAATTATTTTAAGTATATTAATAAAATATAAGACCCTAGCCTTAACTAAACAAACTAGACAATTTTAATTCACCATTTTATTGAAATTTAATAATTTAAACTCAATAAAATGAGACAAACAATGTATTTTTATTTATTTTACTTATCTATGATGTACCTATGACTTGAACTATGTTTTAAGGTACCTCGGTGGCGGCATAAACTTTATGCAAGTTGTTATACAATGGAAGGCACAGAAAATCTAGATGACGAAGTCTTCAATAAAAGACATATGAGGTTAGAGAATGACGAAAGGAGGCGAAAACGGTTTGTTATTATATTTATTGTTATCAAAAGAGATTCATCTTCATCTATTTTCATTAAAGTTTGTTCAAATTCGTTTAAATCTGTTAAAATCATTTTATGTTCATTCAATTTCGTCAAAATTCATTAAAATACTCATCAAATTCATTCAATTTCTTGATATTTAAATTTTAAATTTTAGATGGGATGTTCAGAGAATCCGAGAGCAGAGGGTTATTGAGAAGTTAAAACAGAGACAGGAACGAGCCGGTTTGGCGTCCAAAGAAGAAGACAACGAACTGGTTACGTCGTTATGGCCAAAATTAGAAGATATCAAATTCTTGGAAGTCAGTGAAGAGTTACCAGTAGCTGCCTTTGGGCATCCCATATCAAAATTTGATCCGTGGTAAGTGTTTGCAACTTATATAAACCTTTTAGAAAATGCAGTCAGAGTTTCATTAGGTTTGTCAAACACACAACTTTTGAATTGCCCAAAAATCGTCATGAAATTGCTTTTACTGTGTCTTCGTTTTACCATAATCAACCTATTGTTCGATTCTGAAAGATCCATGTTTCTTCAATAAAAACAAACTTCTACAAAGAAGAATTCTTCCCCTTCTGTTCAATATAATTTCTTAAAAAGTTATCTTTACTGCAATATTACGAAAGTCCATATGCCTTGGTCATTCTTTTTCCCATCTAAAACACAATTACTTGAATAATGTCCATTATGATGTAATGCAACTATTGAACATTTGCTTCTCAATCAAGTTGTCTCTCCAAAAATAATGATTTTAATTAAATAGATTAGAAAATCATACCCCATTGATAAGAGTACAATTCAAACTACATTCACATTTCAGTAATTAACAAAAGTGCTTGTAATGGTCTCTACAAGTTATAATCTGTATTAAAATATTGATTTATTTATAGATTAATTTGTTTCACAGTATACAGGGTGCGGCAGATAAACAGCCAATTAGAAGTATCTCGAGAACTAAAAGTAACTGAATTATAAAAATTGGAATGAAGGGGTTTTGAAGAGTGATCTATTTAATGAAACATTTTCATCTATTTGTTACTTCCGGTTATACCGAAAGTTGCTCGGAACTTCGTTTTTTTAATGGGACACCCTGTATTTTTTTTAAGTTTAGAAATATTCACGTTATTTTGAATATTGTTTTAATACTTCCCTATACCTATTGTGAACCGCTTTGGAGTTTTTTAGTTAATAAGTTCCTAAGGAATTTAAACTTTTATTCAACTTATTAGAGGATATTGAACTTTATATACATGGTAGAAAAGTGTTATTTTCATATAAAAACCATTATAACTCAAAAACGGTTCACAATAGGTATAGGGAAGTATCAACAAAAAATGTTTAGAATAACGTGAATATTTTTAAAATTAAAAAATATACAGGATGTCCCATTAAAAACAAAACGAAGTTCCGAGCAACTTCCGGTTATACCGGAATATATAAACATATTTTCATTAAATAGATCACTCTTCAAAATCCCTTTGTTCCAATTTTCATAATTCAGTTACCTTAGGTTCTCGAGATACTTCTAATTGGCCGTTTATCTGCCGCACCCTGTATACTGTGAAATAAATTAATCTATAAACAAATCATATTATTCAAATGAAATCGTAGGCTTCCACGGCCAGAGTCAGAATTATAGTTTATTCGTCTTCCGGGTTTGGACCGTGTCATTTGTGAGTGACCCAAAAGTGGGTTCATCTCGACGTTTCGCTACAATTGTATGTAGCTAGTATGTATTCTTTTTCTTTGTTCTCCTGAAGAAGCTACATACAATTGTAGCGAAACGTCGAGATGAACCCACTTTTGGGTCACTCACAAATGACAAGGTCCAAACCCGGAAGACGAATAAACTATAAATCATATTATTATTATACAGATTATAAATTGTTGTCAACACTGTAAGCATTTTTGTCAATCACAATCACTGAAATGTCAATGTAGTTTGAGTTGTACTCTTATCAACGGCGTACGATTTTCAAATATATTTAATTAAAATCATTATTTTTGGAGTACTAAATTTATGGGGGTCATATTTTTAGCTGTGTTAGTAAGATTTCAACTCTAATGTTGATGTTATGGAAATTTTGAATACAAATGACGTCATTTTATATAAATGGTGACGTAACGTTGTTTTTGTATTAAAAAAACTAAATTAATATTTATTTTGATTGTTGTTGTTCAGTAGTATGACTATAATAGTTTTTTTAAGGAATGCTAATTAATTATAATTTATATTCCCAGCACAGATAAGGTAGAATCGACAAAAAAAAATCATTTTTTTGATTTTTTACATCTCCTGTATTGTCAGCTGTCGTGGTGGTGTAGTCGAAAAGCTCGTTTTCTTAATAAAATTGTAGCGTTTACTGTCTTTTGCATTCTTAATATACTAAAACTGTTGTATTGTCTGTAAAACCATTTATTTTTTTTCAGCGAATTTCATGTACCTTGGATGGACAATCCATCGATCCTGAGCAAAAAGTCACATTCTCGAAAATCAAAACTAAAGAGGCGATGTACTAAAAGATGAAATTTGGCTTAAGCTAAATAAAATGGTACCTGGATGACGGCATAAAACCCTGAAGAAGACAAAGAAATTTTTTGTAAAAATTGTAAATAGCAGACAAAACCATTTCCGTTCTTTGTTGTGTAAGTTTTAAAGAAATATTTAGATAAATGTGGACTAGCCAGAGCAAACTGTCGTTTGTTAAGCTTCCATTATTTTTGTGATTTTAGACTTATGTATGAAATATGTGCTGATTTTAATGAGTTGAAGAAGTTATAGTTCAAAAGTGTATTCGTAAAAAAATAAAACTTGGATTTGCAATCAGTTTTTTGTATTACTCAAATAAGTGAAAATTAAATTAGGACAATTTTAAGTTTATTTTTATTTTTAAAATGAAGACTGAAGTATTAATATAAATACTGTAGTGATATAAGACGATGTATTTCCTTTTGCAATTTACGTAGTTTCTTAGTGGTTATAAGCAGACAACAATAACAAAATATTTTTTTGTTTTCGATATACTCAGTTGTCCATTCATTGCATCATCAAATTTATATCTTATCTTCGGAGACCTTGTACTAACTCTTAGTTCGACACGCCAATACAAAACTGTTAATGTCATTGTTTTGGGTATTTGACTAATTCCCTAATTTAAGTAATAAATTGGTCATATACTCCAGTTGTCAGAGACGAAAATGCCACTGAATCTCAACAAATCATACGACCAAGGTGAATTTTGCTAAGAATATTAATTTTGGGACCCCAAAAAAGATGTAAGAAAGTTTACCAGTCTTACCCCCGGGCAGCCCCCTATAACACCCCTTGCAGAAGGTAAAAACGCAAAAAATCAATTTACCATGAATCCGTACGCCGTAGAAAAAAATTTAGCTGAGATAATTTTAAACAAAAATGTGTACAAGTATTTTTTTGCGTAGAATAAACCGTTCTCTTAGAAACGACACTTGAAGTGGCCTTTGATTTTGCATGTCAGTTTGTAACGTTTTAATCAATCAATTGAACGATTGATTCTGAAGATCTGAATATTCAGACGGCTAGCTCAGTCGGTAGAGCATTAGACTCTTAATCTCAGGGTCGTGGGTTCGCGCCCCATCTTGGGCGCCATTTTGTAACGTCTGAATCTTATTAAGACCAGGGCGTTAAGCAACACCACACTGCGGGAAGAAACGAGGGGAGAAATTCTTCGAATATCCCTAAGGATATCCAAGAGAAAAACGCCCCCGTTCCATCCATCAGAATGGTGCTCTGCCCGACTGCTCAGCCCTGGGTTCATTGCCTGTTCATTCTCTCTCTACACCAATCCCAGAAAGGTACAGGAAATCAAAATACTTATTAAGTCATAATAAAGGTATATTTATTTATTAAATAAAAAATAAACAGAATTTAAATTATGAATGTGAAACAAAAATAAATTAAATTGAGACTTAACGATGTTGCCGGTATGAAATAACTAATACTTAAAAAAGTGCTCTGCTTTAGTTTGTTCTGAATTAGTCGTTCAGTTCTTCAGGAAGGGTTCCGATCTTTGAGGAAGTTAGCCGCTTTGGGTTAAGGGGAGTTGTTTGGTCTAGATAATGGCAATCATTTTCGTCCCATGTTGGTAAATGGATTTCAAATTGCGTTGTGGTTGGCTGTTTTCTTGTTCCCCACGGTAGTGTGGTTTTCTATTTGTTGCTCCCCACGGTAGTGTGATTGTCTATTTCTTGCTCAATGTTCAATAAAATTTGTATCAACTCGCCTGTAAAAATTCGATATCTTTTGATTCAACTCACTTATCGACACAAATCAAGATGCGTTTTAAAGGTAAAGAGTTCAGCTTTCATATGCAGTTGTTGTATTTTGCCGCAAATAAACTCAGATTTTATACAGGTGTTAAATAAATAAACGTGGCGCTATTTTTGCCACAAAACCGCCATTACATACTTCCGGTTTTGAGAAAACTAGGATAAAGAAATCTACTAGTAAACTATGATAGCTATAGCAATTTTTGATACGTATTTCAATCAATAAAGTTTTATGATCCTTAACTTCGAGAAGGTTAATATTGATACCTCTTATATAATACGGCTTTTAGTAAAGAAATCTATGATTAACATCTTAGATAAAATTAAGTCTTGGTATTGTTCATCGTTGGAGTCGTTGTATGGTAAGTTTGCATTATATATCAGCCGATACGTTGGCTGTGTATTTTCTGTATTATTTAACCTGACTTGAAATTGAGAGTATTTTTGGGCTACAACAGTTGAATACGAGATCCTGACCTTTCTAATGTAGATAGTAGATATCAAAAGGACCCTTTAGCATTATAGACATTTACGCAATATAATGCCCTTTGAAATATCTTTTGTGTATCCAGTAAATCTTTATTTACAGCTTTTGAATAGTCTTTGTTGCCTTCTTTTGAGCTTCTTTTGGATTGCTTCAACGCTGCTTTCGTAACTAGTTTTCAGTAGTTCCTTCGTCTTCGCAAATAAAGCTAGTAAAAGTTTTTTTACATTTAAATTAAGAGTGATAGTTTTAGACGACTGCAACTACGTTGTTTCGCTTCCTTGTTTATACCTGATTTCCTTTATTCCACGAGAAGCTAGGCAGTAGTTGACCACTAACGTCATAGTACTCTAACATAGAGATTAAACAACCATTTAGACTCACATAGTAGCTTCAAGGTTGTTCCAAGCATTTGGTCTACGCTGTTCTATCTCTACATGATAATAACAAAGAAAACATACCAACAAACATACATTTGGGAAATGTACCGATAGAAAGGGTTGATAAATACAAATACCTAGGAACCTGAATTTTAGACAATAATGATCAAACAACCGAATAAGAGCTAGGATAGAAATAGCAAGAAATGCGTTTGGAAAAATGAAAACAATTCTCTGTAACAAAGATCTTAGATTAGAACTGAGAGTAAGAGCACTGACACATGAAAACACATGCTATGTGTTTTCGATACTGCAATGTGGACTTGAAAGCTGGACATTGATGCAAGAACACATAAATAAGTTACAGTTACCTTCTTTTGGTTGAGTTTACCGAAAGTACAAGCTGAATATAGCCGCAACTGTCAAAAATATTTGTGTTTGGCAGTGTTGGGATGTTTTTATAATGCATATATAATATATGCTTCAAATATAAAGAGAAAAAGCTTTTAAAAAGTACATTTTGATTATACTATTTTATGAATTCTGCAATTCTTAATTTATATGAAGCAATAACGAGTAAATATTTGACTCTTTCGAGATTAATTGCAAACATCTGTTGCAATCTGGCAACTGCTGATTTGACGATTGCCAAATCTATCCCCTAATCTAACAAAGGGTAATTGCCAAAATAATTTCTAATAATTAACTGCAATTAATCTCCAAAGAAACAAATATTTACTCATCCTTGTTTTATATAAATCAAAAATTGCAAAATTTATAATATATCTAAGCTAGCTAAAGCTTTATCTTTTTATATTTGAAGCATACAGCATCTACATTATAAAAACATGCCAACATTGCTACACCTAAATTGTTTGTTCCATGTTTGACATTTGCGGCTATAAGCAGCTTGTGCTTTCGGTAAACTCAACCCTTCTTTCTGTTTTTGCATAATAATTACACAATTTAACTCTGGAAAATACGAAAATTTTCAAAACTGCCGCTTGGAAATCTTTTATTATATAAATTAACGATTTTTTACATATAGAAGTTTAAAAAAGCTTATATTATCACGTTCAAAATTAAAATCAGTATATTAGATGAACCCGAGGAATTTTTTAGAGGCTACAAAAGTAATTTTTCTTTTACTCAAAGGGTACTCCCCATTAAGATAGGCAAAGTGCTCCCACTCCCAGAATTCTATCTATTTTATTTTTACGTTCTATGTGAGAAAAGGGGTCCGCGAAATTTTATCCCGCCAGATTTTTTCATAAGGTGCGTCATCTCCAAAAACCCGAAAAACTGTTTTTTTTTTTATTTTTGGTCGATTTCTTCATTTTATAGACATCAAAATGTATGAAATCCTCACTAAAAGTTTTTCGGATTTTTGAATATTGTGCAGGCTACGGAAAAATCAGATATAGTTTTTTTAACAAATAAACAAAATAAAAAAAGTGGACCTGCGCCACCTCGAAAAAAAAATTATACGCTTTTTTCGAAAAAAAAAGCATTTTTCCGCTTAGGGATAAAGGCAAGGAAAACAAGGAGATATTGAGGATTGAAAGTTGACAAGTAGTCGATTTTTCACTCTAAAATGTTGCCCTAAATTTTTAAGTTTTTCAGCTGGTGAAAATATAAATTCCAATTATAAACAAAATTCCAGAGAGATTTTTACACATAAAACATAAGTTGCGTGCAAGTTAAGGTACTATTACCGTCTAGAAGTTTAAAAAAATATTGTTTTTACATTTTTAAATCTTGTAGATCCGTTGACCTCCAAAAATAACTCCCTAAAATATTATATTATAAATTCGAAGCCAATCCCGAGGCATTTACCGTAGCGCGCTCTCGGCTCGGCGCAGTTGTTCACGCAGCTATCAGTCGTGATGAGACATTTATTTACCTTTCTACAAAATACCAGATATACATTTACATCTTGTAAATTGATCATTATAGAATCGATTTTTAAAGAAACATTTACAAAATCTTTAAACTTGTTTTTCTGAAAACGTACGTTTTAAAAACTGGTGGACAGTTAGTCTTCGGATCTAGTTGGTCGATTTTAATAAACCTTGATGCATTTTGTTTGTTTTGGTTTTTTTCTATACTAGTTTACCACAATTTACCAAAAAATAGTAATAAAAGTTTTTTGTAGCCGAACAAAATCGAAATAAACGTAAATTTTTGATTATTTTTATCAATTATTCGCTATTTTTTTTTTAATTTTCAGTTTTTCTGGTAAACTCTCACGTAAGGGCACTTCTTTTTTAAAACTCTTCTCGAATTTTATATTTCAAGTTTACCGTTCCAGAGAATAACTATCCACCATGGAGCAGTAATTTCTGGACGAAAAATATTTGGCGCCATCTTTAAAATACAATAGAGGAACAATGCAAAACAATTTTTTGTAATCTTCAAAAGTTTTATTATAGTATATAAAAAATAAAAATATAATTAGCGTTTATAATAAATAAAATACAAGAAAAAATTGTTGAAAATGTGTCATTTTTTGGCATTTTAGGCAGTAATAGTACCTTAAGCTTTTTTGTAGATCCCGGCTGTAAATATAAAATTTATTTAAAAATGTCAATGATTGTTACTTTGATTTGTTGAGTGACATATCGAAAATTAATAAAATTTGTTTACCATTTCCT